AGTCCAAGATTTCAGAAATGATTTCAATGACGGCACTTTGATACTCTATGCATCGTTGCCTTGTGTAGGAGGTAGCCCATGGGGGAACGTGAATGGCCTTACTGTTGAGGGTCAGGAAAGAATCAAAGAGCAACAAAAACAGTTTACCAAGTTGTTCAAATCTTTTGTCAAACTTGTGGATGAAGTTTATGATGAACGAACCTTGATAGCATTTGAACTGTCCAAGAATTGCAAATATTGGAGATGGCCGATGGTTAGAAGATTCCTCAAAGAACGATCCATGACTACTCATCACTTTGATGGTTGTATGTTGGGTGTTCTTGGAAACAACGGTCAACCAATGAAGAAAAGTTGGACTATTGCAGGAAATTTTAAAGAACTCACCGTGTTAGACTCATTCAAATGTGATGGCAAACATGAGCATGATCAAAGTAGGGGCAAAGCTCTTAAACTTGCTGAGAACTATACCTTCAAGTTGACTGACATGCTCCATGAGTGTTTCCGGGTAGCTGTGGTGGGCCAAACATCCAAAAGGATTTCACCCGTTGTCATTCGTGCCTGTCCTGCAAAAATGGCTGACTCACGATATGCCACAGCACACCCGGCCAGCCGCGAGGCTGCGCTCGAAGCCACACGTGAGGCTAACAAAGAAGCATGGTTGCTCCTTCACAATCGCATTTTGTATGCATTGGCCATGCGCAATGAAGGTGAGAATCAGGCTGCTCAGGACCTTGTGGATGGTTTGATGACCGAATGGACGCCGGCTTCGGCCCTGAGGTTCTATGGTCGAGAGGATCCGCTTGCAGAATACCTTAGTTTCTGCTTTTTGCCAAAGGAGTCCCACATCGAAAAGATCATGCTGCCAGAGATGCCCGTCAATGACGTAATCTGGATCTTAGTCTCTGACTCGTCATGTGCATTGATCACAGGGCGTAGGAAGACACTTAAGAAGTTTGATCTTTCCGAGCACTACCGACAGCGCAAACCCAAGTACGTGACTGAGTTCATCCACGAGATGCTTTGGGGCAAAACTTTGCAGAAGTTGGTAAAGAGAGGGATCGAATTGGCCGCGGACGCCCGCGAGCGCTATCCTCATGCACGCATCAACCTGCACTTGTCCTGGTTCGGAAATGAATTGGTAGGAGAGGATGGAATTGCCCAAAATCCAAATTGGCCGTACGATGGTCCCAACGGGCACTGGCCCACGATCCTGGATGATTGTGAGCGCCACTTGACATGGTTCATCAACAAGGCCCGGGAGTTGGACTTGCAGACGGCCGGTCTCACGACCGCGCCCTGGAGCGCAGATTACGGCATTCATCCAATCTTCGATCAATTTTTCGACCATTTGGAGCCCCGATTCAAAGCTCTAACCAGCAGCCTGCAAGGGCGTGCCAATCCGCGGTATCCGTGGCTAAAAGCAAAGGGGTACGCCGATGCAATGGAATTCAGAGACCAGTGGCATTTCGCCAACTCTGAAGAAAATCGCACGCGCCTTGCTGCCTATTGGACAGCTACCCTTTTCGCACTTGATTCCGGATGGCGGGTCGGCCAAATTGGTTTGGAGCTTTCTGAGTGTGCCCAGGAGACATGGGATGATTTGCGGAGGAACATGAGCGCCGTCCTGGACGAGCTGCCAAGATCCTATCAGGAGACATGTGCAAACATCACCAAGTTGCTTTTTGGAGAGTCCCGAAGACACATCGTGCCGACGGGCAGGTCATTCACCAAGGAGGACGTCGAAGCTCAACAACCTGACACTGAGGACTACATCGACATCAAGACGATGCCTTCGGGCACGTTTGCTGAGCCTCCCAAAGATGACCCTCCAAAGGCCGCCGGCGACGGCGAGCCCGCTGCATCCAGCAGAGCAACAATCCTGGTCCAGACAGCTGAGGTCATGTTGAAGTCGCGGCCGAAAGCAGCACCAGCATCAATGGATGAGCCCGCAGATGACAAGGGAGCCACATCCAGCCAGTACCAGCCGCAGGCAACTGCGCGCTTCGAGGGACAAGCATCTGGCCACGTGAAAGCATATTGGATGGAAGAGCATTTGCCTGAATACCAATATACAATGGTGACCAATGCAGACGGGGACGATGTGCCCGGCATCCTCTTTGAAGGTACGGCTTATGAGCTGGAGCTGATATCGGCATCCGACGTTGAGACCATTGCCAGCCAGACTCGCGTCGACAAGAAGTTTTCTGATTTTGCAACTCGTGTCAACAAAGTTTGCAGGGGGCATGGATCCTGTGCCAAGGTGCCAATGGACAAAGACCTTTGGATTGACTTGGAGGATTTCGCCAAAGCCTTCCGCAAGGAAGTGCCCCCAGATGTTTTCATCACTGTCGCAAACCTGTTTGGCACCGCAATGAAGATCGACAAGCATGGCAAGAGTAGGTTCCAATTCTTGTGTGCAAAGATCTCCCATTTCCCTGTCGACAATGGCCTAGGCATGCCGTATTATCCTGTGAAAATCCGTGCAATTCAGGGTCACTCCGAAGCTGCCTTGAAAACCGCAGGGGGTCTTTATGCCAATTCAACCATGGTGTATTGCTCAGACCATGTATCTCCCGAGCGAAAAGCCGCCTTCACTGGCGTGCCCCTGTGTGCCATGACTGAGGTTCCTGAGGTTGTCTTCCATCGCACGATGAAAAGCAGCTGGAAGAGCATCGCACAGAACGGCCTGATTCCAGGCGGCGGTGCAACAGTCAACAGTGGCCGTGCTCATATCTACATGGCAGAACACTGTATTGGCACGCAGGGGTATCGATCTGGATTAAGAGCAAAATGTCCAATCGAAGTCAAAATCGCAATGCGGCAAGCAGTTGAAGCTGGTGTCATCTTTAGTCGCACAGAAATGGATGGGATTTTGTGCTCAGAACGCATCCCACCGCAGTTTCTGGTCAGCATCTCAGAAGAAGGACAGGTGCTTTGGTCCCGCGCCGAGAGCAATCTCGAGCCCAGCACATGGACTGGCGCGGCATCAGCCTCAGCACCGAAAGCCAAAGCGGTCACCTTGACTGCCCGAGATGATGCAAATGACGACCCAATGGATGACACCAGCACGGGGCGACCCGATGCCAAGTCCACTGATGATGATGCAGCCACTGCCTCAATGCAAGTTGACCAGCCGCCCGCAAGGACGCGCCGTGTTTACATTGCACCCAAGTACTGCGAACCTTTCATGGGCTCCTGTCCCCTCTGCCAGGTTGAGTACGTCAGTGGCCAAGTGACATGCACCACATGTGGTTTTGAGCCACTCCCAGTGGACGAAAGTGGCGACACAAAAGAGGCCAACAAACCCAACAGGAGGACCCGTATCCTTGAACGGCGAATGCAAAGTCTCGCCGGGTTCGGAATGTTTGGGAAGATGAGCGGAAGCTTGCTGACAGCCTTGACGGAAGAGCAAGCCAACCTGCTACGCCGAGAACTGGGCCCCAGGGGAATCACATCCGTGGAATCAGCAGTCCTCAAAGACTGCCGCGACAGGCATCGACGTGCAAAAGCGCTGGGCTACGAGGACGTGGAAGACAGATACTCCAGCGACGTCACTTTTTGCGACCGCATCCACGGTGAGGGGAAGGACCTGCAGGACTGCATATTTGACGATATGTTCGCATATGGCAACCTCCCCGATCCCCCAAGGACCAAAGCTCAGATCTCGGCTGGCGTCGCCGCCAATGCCCAAAATGAGAACTGCTTATCTAAGTTGATTTTCATGTCTCAGCCTCGTGGCGTTGATGGCTTCCCAGTTGAGTTCCGCAAAACATGGAAGAAGGTCTGGGGTTTCATGTTTGGCCGCCACATTTTTACAGAGGATGAATATGTCAGCTACATCGGCCGTCGTGGCGCATTCCGTGGCCTGTTGACCTGGAAGGGTACTGTCCAAGTCCCTCTTGATGGCACTCGTGATTTCCTCGAAAAGGTGTATGAGGAAAACCTTCCCTTGGTTCGGAGCAATCTTGAACGCAAAGAGAAGCAGAGCGCCGCTGCAAAGGCTGGAGGTCCTGGAGGTCATAAGGCCGACCCCACGGTCGCGCCCACCATTGAGCGAAAGCGCAAAGCCGAAGCTGATGCATCCGCAACCGCACCAGATGTCACAGCCGCCTCAAGCTCTGCTCGCGCAGATGCCTCGCACGCTGATGCCCCAGCCGCACCATTTCTGGTACCTGAACCACCAACATCCAAAGCAGGAGCACGACCATTCTTGGAGCCTGAGACACCGCCCACTGCAAAAGCAGCAACCGCAGGAGTCACTTCGAAGGCTGCAAGCTCCGGTCGCCCGGATGCCTCTTGGAGTTGGAATCGTGATCACTATGGTGCACGCCGAGAATGGAGTTTCTGGCGTGGGGCTTGGTATTACCGTGACGAGGCCGGCGGCCGTTGGATCTTTTGGAACCGTTAGGGAGACGATGATTTTCTTTTGTAGCATAGCGCAAGATGTGGCATGGTAATGTGCCTTCCTTGCAACGCTGCGCTGGGTTTTACGGGCTTGAGCTTTTTAGAGGGACCTTTGAAAGACTGCACAAAATGTCTAAAACCAACTAAAGAAATTCGGCTACCCGCGAGGGTATGCTTTTCTGGGTTATTCGTTCTCCGCAGTCGTCCCTGCTCGCCCGAGGGGGGTGTAAAAACTCCTGCAGTAAAACCATGTATTGTATATATCATCGATCTGCCCGATAGCGTTGGTTCAAAAGAGCTGAGTGCTTAACGGTGTTAGCTTAGTATTTCACCCCATTGTCGGTTGACCTGGTAAAATACAATATATGTATATTTGTAAATAGACTATTTTGTTCCCCATTGTGTTTCCCCGTTGTAGTACCCCAGGTGGATGGGTCCAAGTCCTCGGGCCAGACTTGGCGGACCTGTCACTCATTACAAATAGTAAATAGTCACTCATATTTCTACTATACATATTATATATATAAATACGTGTTTGTAGATGCTGGGTGTTCAACCATGGGCACCGTGCTCTTTTTGGACAGCCCTGGCCCGAGGTACATGACCGGAAAGGATATCACCTGGGCCCTGGTCAGTGGCGAGGTCGGGACCGGGATACCCTGGTTGATTGGTTCATTAACCATAGGAAAATGGAGGTTTATCCACCAGAAATGGAGGTTTTATATAGTTTTATATGGGAAAATCATGGGAATATTAGTGGGATATACCCTCTGGTTATGACTAACATAGCCATGGTATAGATGGCCCATAGAAATAGATGATTTTCCCAGCTATAAACCTCCATTTATTTTGGGGATTTTCCATGGCTATGTTAAATAACCATATGGTAAGTTTCAATGACTACCCTCTTGTAAACTAACATATTGTAGCTATAGAAAATCACAATTTTTAGTGAGTAAATCAACTATTTCTATGGCCATTTTCAACAGCTACGTTAAATTACCAGAGAGTATTTATGGTTAGGTTGGCATGCTAAACAGGTTGATTGTGATAAGTTGGTTAGGTTATAACATGTTATAACCATAAGTTGGGAGTTGAACTGCCTGATTTAATGGGGGGGACTATGGTAACACACGCTGGTGCCTCAGTGGAGAGAGAGAGAGAGAGAGAGAGATAGAGTCATTTTTGGAAGAAAAAAACATGCAGGCAACAGCTGGAAGAATGCACCCCTACTCACCCTGGCCCCTGTTGCAGCTTTATTTTGCAAGGACACCGAAGAGCAGATGGACAAGTTCTATGACGCTCGGAGAAAAAGCAATGTTGTACCTGTTTTTGAAGCACTATTCATTCTACCCAATAAATAATCTTTTGAGAATCTATATGCTTTAGACATTGATATTTCTCCATTTGTAGATATACCCTTTCAAACTGGTCCTTTGCCACTGCCCCAAATTGTCAGAACTTTGGAAACACCCAGCCGCTGAGGATTTGTTCAAGATTCAGCCCGCAGAAAGCGCAGACCGGCTCCTCGGCTTCATAGAGCAGGGTTGCTCAAGATCCATGATGGCCACTGTTGGGGATGTAGATTTTGTAATTTTACCTCTATACAAGATCCCTTGCAACATCGCTTTACAAGATACCTGCAGGATCCGTAATGTCAACTCAGGATTATTCCGGATTTAAAAACCCTGGTTGATTGATTTGGAGTTCCTTCAAATGATTACCGAAATTTTCCGACTTAGGACGACATAAGATTTATATAAAAGTCGATCTCGTGATATTCAGGTGTTATCTTATTGCTTTCAGGTGTCACACTGTCTGAATGATGTCCATCAGCTAAACCGTTTGTTGTCAACAATCGCCCGGTCCAATTTTGATCAACCACCTTCCTTCCTCGTGCAGCCTCCCCTCCTATCCAAGCATCTTGTGGCTACAGCATGCACTCTGAGGCCGGGTTGGGAAGCATAGGTTTGAATTTACATGATGAAAGGGCAAGTTGGTTCCAGGATAGCCCTAAGTGGAGCAATGGGTTCTGGGTGATGAGGTCGGGCGAGCAGAACCCCCCTCCTATTCAAGCATAGATGTTTGATTTTAGCTCACACGATGCATGAGAGGGCAAGTTCAAGACAGCAGGATGGAGCAGAGCATGGGGCACCGCGTGCAGCGGTATGCACGGGCCTGAGCTGTGCTGAAGTAGGCACAAGTTTAGAAAAAAATATGATTTCCTTGATACATCTCACCCAAGCTAAAGCAACCAGAGTCTTAAATGCTATAGGTTAACGGTTATAGGTTGAATATTGCATGGGGTGGTTTCGTTGATGGATGTTGCATGTTGGCAAGGCGTGATTTCATCAAATCTTTGGAAGGCCCTGGGGCCTGCAGACTTCTGTTTGTTGGCAAACAAATGGGAAGCGGGGCGCTCAGATTCGCGGGGGTCCAGTGGTCCTTCACTCCGTTTTTCTGGCAGCAATGATGTCAAGTAAGACAAAGAATGCCCCAGATATTGAAACAAAAATGGGAGCGCATGGGCCTTGGCATGCAGCAACGCACCTTTAAGGCGAGTTGAGCTTTGGAAGCGCGTCGCGTCCTCTGTCCATGCTATAACTTGTGTTTCAAGAACGGCTGATTGTTGTCCAGGTGTTCTTCTGCTGTTTCTGCCCAATCTGGGGTGTTCAAAGTTTTCTTTCAATTCAACATATGTGCAGCAATGCTGTAGCGCGAGTTACAGAAAGATACGCACCCCATAGTCGGCATGCAAACAAGAAAGCGCAGTCTACTGGGCAGTCTGTTTCTTTTCCAGACAGTGAATTAAAAGAACTGTTTTCTCACCGTAAGCATCTTGGAAACTTTGTGTCACGAGCGAACGCTCACCCCAAAGTTGTTTGGCGCGTTGCCTTCATGCCAGGCTTCTAACTACCGAAAAGACATGTGTATGAGGCCACCGCACTTGATATGTTTTGCAATAAGTTTGCTGTTTTCCATGTTGGAAGCTTGAGCGCGTAGCTTAACAAAGGGTCTTGAGTTTTATGTTGTGAGGGCGAAAAAACATGAACAAAATACTGTAAATTTCGAATTTGCGATTCCTCAATGTGACTTGATGCTTCAACTTTGATTAGTTAGCAAGTGGTTCCTACGTATTGCAAGTTTGCCCTCTGTGGCTCCAGGCCACGCACTGTTACTTGGAAAACGGTCACCCCTTTTGCCTGCTTCTCAGTGCTGAGTTGCATACTTTTCTCATTGAGCATGTCCCGAAGTCAGCACTCTTTGACTGATGGAACATCGTGTCGGTCGCTCTGCCCGCCATATGATCTGAAGGCTCAGTTGCTGTGTTGGACAGCATTGAGAAAACTTGAAGCAAATCAAGTTTACACCTGTCACTGCTAAGAATGGAAACGAACAGTAGCCATACATCAAATGTGTCATGAACATTGCGAAGCTGGGGCGACTTATATAATCAGGACACATTATAATTATAATGTTTCTTTCGGTATGTGCCTATGGATTACTCAGATCATAGCGCGTGGGGATGCAGATTCTGCATCCAATCCCGGCGCATGGTTTTTAGTTCTGATCTTGTGTCAGCGCGTGATTGCAACATGCAAAGGCCAGCGGCCAAGAGCAAAGCAGCATCTTCTTTTTTGAACGAAATAGTACTACTGCAGCAACACATGTTAAATGAAAACCGCAGCTGCACACTTTGTAGAAGGTTTCATGTGCTGTTTGAAAATCATGTGTTTGGACATGTTTGGACACATGTGGGTACACATTCTGCAGGCCCACTGTCAGTTCAGTGCGACAGTCAAAGATCAAAAGCCACCTCCTATTGACACCTGGCACAACACTAGACTCACAGCATCTGATTCTGCCTCCAATGTTGTCTGCAGAGCGTGGGAGCCAGCACTGCCACAGCTAAGGTTCGGCCCTAAGACAATGGCACACAGTGCCAATTGATGTTGATTGAGCACCTAGGAATATGACGGAGCCACTGACTAGATCATGCTTAATAACCAGGTTGGTTCCATGCTGGTTGTGCTAGAGTTTTCGCACGCCCTTGCCCAATCATGCGTGGCACGCCATGGCTGCTGCAATTTCTGCACTCAGGCTGAAGAGCTTCTCCAGCTCGCAGAACTTGGTGGGAGTTGCCTGGGGAATCTCGCAAAAGGACTCCTTCGATAACTAGCGTTGTGAGTTTCAGGTCTCCCGTATGTCTCGCATCAACCACCGTCAGGCGATGGTTTCTCAAACAGCTGAAGTGATACAGATACCCGGGACTCACATTTCCTCAGGAGGCTTGGTTTCACACAAACCAGCCAGGATCTGAGCTTCTGACGCAACTTCTTTTTTCCGAGCAAGAATCAAAACGACCCACCTGTGCAAATGACGAAATTCGAACTGCATGGTTTCAGCTTTACTGCGCAGATAACGAAAATCAATAATGGCACGATGCCAACTTACAACCCATGCAAATGTTTGCTTGCAGCATCTTATGGCACCAAGGATTTCCCAGGCACGTGATTTTGGGCGTGTCAGTATCAGTATCAGTCACTTCTGCTGGCGTCTCAACTGCTGCAGTAGCTTGACATTTGTTACGCGGATCGATTTTTATGTGTTTCTTCTTCCTTGCGCTTGTTTGCACGCAACTTTTGGTCAATTCCATCCAGCCAGGTCCAGACTTGGATCATGTCAGCTGATCGCAAAAGGCGCAGCAAGTCCTATGCGCATCCGAGAATGTGTTTCTCCAACCGGTTTTCTTTTGTCCTGCATTTTGTGGCAATCATATGACATACTTGCGGTACGGATCAGCAAGAGATCACCGTCTGGATGCAGCACCCTATGGTTTGCATAAACTGCCTTTTTTCGTTGGAATGTTTACTGTATCTAATACTCCTATAAAATCAGTCCTGGGTTCCTGCTTTTTTTGGCTGGCCTTTTGCGCCAGGTTCCTTCGTGCTTTGATTCGGCCGTGTGAAGCCTCCCTTGTTTCAGCAGAACCCTCAAGCACGAGCGCACCATGCGCAGCAGCAAAGCCATTTGAGGAAGATCGGGAATCTTTACATCAAAGAGGAGTTCATTTCAATGTGCACGCGCTAACGCAATTTCAGGGAATGCAGGGTATGGCAGAAGAGCAGCAATCAAAACCGATTTCGGAAAATTTCCGGAAACGACCGAACTATGATGGATCCCGCCGGAAGCTTTCCAGACTGGTGCGTGAGCGAAAGTCGCAACTCATGTAAGATTGATTTTTCATGCTTTATTCTGAGTTTTTGCTGGTGCGAGAAAATTTTCCAATGTCGTCCATCTTGGAGATCTCAGGCATGCTGAGAATGGCCTTAGCTCAGCAAGTGTTCAGAAGCTGGTCACTCTTGAGGCCTGCCGATGTCAGAGAAGAATTTGCTTCTCGAAGTTCCGGCACCTGGTTGCTGACTTGCTGAATTTTCTCAAGATCCTGTGGTCTATGGCACGGGCCACACAAGATGCTTTCGTTCCCTCACTTGTTTATTTGGTTTCAACGGTTGAATTGGGCCCTGATTCATTTTTCCATGATGATGCCGGCCTTAATATGGGGAATTCTCAGCTTCGCAGGTGTTGCAGCACAGTTTTTGGTGTTGGCTCCGGTCAAGCGAGGTTCTTTTCGTCGCTGGCAACAAGACTGCGCAGCGGAGACCGTGGTTTCTCTTGGGCAATCAAGTGTCGCCCACATGCTGTTAGGCATTGCTTGGCATGGGCAATGATCGGCTGAACAGAATCATGCAGCACAGGCTTGACATGCGGAGATCGTACGGAAAGGAAACTCGGCTAGTGTGCTTTCGATTTCTTGCTTTTTTGTTGATTTATTGGGCGGACAGTGACGGTCGTCAAAGGAACAAACGTCATTAGATTGATTTCTTCGAGTCTTTCCACTGCCTTGTGGCGAAACTCTGTCCGTGCAAGGCAGCCAAGCGAACGGCCCGTAAGCGAAGGATCATCAACATGTATTTGCTGAAGGTTTACATCAAAAAAGCTGGCATGCTGCCCAACAAGCCGCTTGACCATGAGGTCTCAGCATGCTTAGTTGTTTGATCATGGCATTTGTTTGGTAGAATTGGGCTGCCATTTGGATAGCTTGAAGAGAAAGACATGGTCATTCGCAGGGCCAGCAAGATCCTTTGATTCACATCCTTTGTTTGTGCGAAGGTTTCAGAGATCTGCTCGGAGCAGAAAGGACCATGAGAAGATCACGGCCATCTTTGAGGCAGCCAGTGATCACGAGACAGAGCCGGGTGACAGTGATCATGATTCTGGAGAAGTTGAAGGAGATGTTGTGCAGTTGGAGGTGGACGAGCTCGAACAGGACGAGGAGCTACGGCTACACGTTTTGGGGCTCAACTCATACTGGAGTGCAGCCATTGAGACGAACTTTGGCACCAACTTGAAGAACCTCCCAGCGCGCTGGCTGGCACCAGGCACTATTCGGATGTTGTGGATGCAGATGTGCCAGGAGGCGAAGGGGGTGTCGTATAAACACTTCTGGACAGTGTTTCGCCAAAATTGGCATCAGATTCTCCGGTTCCTTCCATCCAGCAGCCATGGAGCCTGCGACACATGTGTCGCGTTCAAATCTGGGTTCCGCAAAGCTTTGCACCTGCAGGAAAAGTTTCACAACGCAAAAGCTTACAAAGCTCACATTGATTCTGTTTGCCAAGACCGGGATTTGGAAGCTTTCTTACAAGTTTCTAATCCATTGGCAAATGCTGGAAGTGCACTGTGCCTTCACTTCGTTTCCTGTCTAGATTTGGTTTGTGCCAATGATTTAGCATCTTTTTCTGTGAAGGCAACCATTGTTCATACGAAGCTTCTTTGCCACTGTGGAAAACCAAAGGCGGCTTTGATGTCATTGAAAGCGCATCAGGCTCCCTATACTTTCTTGTCGCATGCTCCTATTTACCAGTAGTACCGCACAAGGCGGTGGCGGAAGTTTCAAGGATAGGACACGATAGGAGAGGTGAGTTGTTGTGATGCATGGATGGCAGAGCGAATCCACTGATGGACCGAAAGGTGGTTGGAGTTGTGCTTTTTGGAGTGGTTGCAATGGTTGCAGTGGTCGCCTCACTCACAACTCCTGGATGTAGTGTGGTGTAGTGCAGTAGTTGTAGTTGTAGTTGTAGTTGTAGTGGGGTTGATGTTGTTGAAGTTGTAATGTTGCAGTTGTAGTTGTAGTTGCGGTTGTAGTTGTAGTTGTAGTTGTGGCAGTATTGTAGTTGAAGCGTAGTTGAAGTTGTAATTGTCTTAATTTTAATATCTGCAGTAGTTGCAATAGTTGCAGGAGTTGTAGTTGTAAGCGTAGTTGTAGTGTAGCTGTAGTTGTAGTTGTAGTGTCGTGGTAATTGTTTTTGTAGTAGTGTAGTTGAAGCCGAAGTTGTAGTTGCAGTTGCAGTCGTAGTGTAGCTGAATGTCTAGTTGCAGCTGTAGTTGCAGTTGCACTTGTAGTGTAGTTGTAGTAGTTGTTGCAGTTGTAGCTGTAGTTGCAGTTATAGTTGCAGTGGCACTTGTAATTGTAGTTGTAGTAATTGTAGTCGAGGTTGTAGTTGAAGTGTAGTTGAACTTGTTGCTGTGGTTGTAGCTGTAGTTCTTGTAGTTGAAGTGTAGTTGAAGTTGTAGTTGTAGTGGTAGTATAGTTGCAGTTGAAGTTGTAGTTTTTGTACTGTGGTGTAAGTGCAGTTGCAGTTGTCTATCTGTCTATCTGTCTATCTATCTGTTTATCTATTTGTCTTTCTGTTTATCTATCTGTCTATCTATCTATCTATCTTTCTATCTATCTATCTATCTATCTGCAAGTTTGAAAACGAAGCTATTCTGCGAGACTTCCTCAATTTTTGAACTTCACAACATCAAAAAGGAAACCATTTGCGAGACTTCCTCAATTTTCGAAGTTGACAACATCAAAAACAAAACAATTCTGCGAGACTTCTTTCAAAAATGGAAAGTTGAGTGCAGAGCTGACGGCCTCGCTCCAATCGTTTTCCGGTTTTCCAATTGACCTGTCTATAAAGTACTGCGCCTGCCAGGAAAAAGTGATGCCAGGTCATACAAAGTGCTGCACCTGTCACGCAAAATCATCTTCCCAAAACTGAAGATCTGATGCTCCAAAATGCAACCCCTCTCAGGAAATCAGCGCCCGGACCTCCTAACATCTCTGATGAACATGTCTCTTGTATTGCGCCTGCCACGGAAAATGCATCTTGCCAGATCCTCTTCAAACGTCCCTTGGCTGCCATCGTTTTGGAAATGCCACACAACCCTCAAATTTTGCTCACTTTTGACAAGGTGCAAAATCCCGTGCGCCTGCCACGTAAAACGACATCTGAACGTCCAAAAGTGCTCCGAACACGTCAGCCTTTGACACTTTTGACTTCGAAATGTGCTTTGCGCCACAACGGCGTGCACTTTTTCGACATCGTAACTTCTAAAAGTGCTCCGAAGCTGGTGTGTTTTGTACATTTTGACTTGGAAATGTGCTTCCCGCCACAACGGCACGCACTTTTCATCATCTCAACTTCCAAAAGTTGTCCTAACCTGGTGTGTTCTGCACATTTTGACTTGGATATGTGCTTCGCGCCACATCGGCGTGCACTTTTTCAACATCACAACTTCCAAAAGTGGTCCGACGCTGTTGTGTTTTGTACATTTTGACTTCGAAATGTGCTTCGCACCACAACGGCGTGCAATTTTTCATCTCTCATCTGGCCAGCTGGCTCCGCACCCGCCGCTTTAGCGAGCCTACTTTTCGACCCTCCGGAGCCACAAATAATTGGAAAAACACAGTGTTTCGCGACTTTCCTACCTTTTCGCGCACCTGGATCTTTTTTCTTCTGAGACTTTCTCTATTTTGATTTTCTTTCTTCTTCTCTTCTCTTCTCTGACTCTTCCCATCTCTCCCTTTCATCTCTCTCCATATTGTCGGAAGTTTGACTTCTAAACTTCCTTCGATCATAATCACCTGCCATGGCAATCCTTGATGCTGGTATCTTAGGACGGCATGGATCAAAGCAAATGGCGGCTCCCTAGATACCATGGACCCAACGGACAAAGACCACTGAAAAGCACGATGAACCTTCAGAGACCCCAGCTGAAGGTACAGGGATGTTGGGTACACAACATCCTCCTGGACCTTTGGGACTCTTGATTATTTTCGATCAAACTCTTGTTTTCTCTTTGTGGGTTGCTCCAACGCTCGGAGTTTTGGTGGTGGTGGTGATGCGAGGTGCTGGCCCCAAATCTTCTTAGCCTCAAACAGCAATCTTGATTGGTCTCGACATCTGATCTTGTCAGGTTTTAGACCCAAGGGTTGCAGCTGACAGCAGCACCGTCTTGGAGTGTGCCTCACGGTCCATCGATGCCGCCCTTCAGATCTGCAAGGACCTGGGCGTGCCCAAGCCAGATCAAATTCTGGCCTGGGTATCTCGATTAATTTGAGATGCTTGTTGAGGTTCGTTTGGTCCTAATTCATTCCCCCGAATTCTGGTGATATTTTGACGGAGCGGATTCAATGCAACAGACTGAAAAACAAAGAAGTTGGAAAACATGGATAAAGGTACAAGTTGTCATCACTTCCGTAGCTTCTCTGTATCTTATCAGCAATACTTTTTCCGGCATGGCCAAATCCAGCTGTGCATACAATCCCGGTGAGCCCAGGCGGATAACTGCGTCAGGGAGAACAAGAACGGACAGCTTCTTAGATTCTTGGGATGGCTTTGCGCCACAGGGCGCATGAGAATGTGCGGCTATTTTTTCAGCAGAGTTGGACATACGCATTGTGCGTTGGGTCGCTAGGTGGCATGACGGAAAGCACACATACATACACATCGCATTGGTTTATTTCAAGACTTTTGGACTAGGGAATTGGCTTTCAAATCATGACCGGCAATATTCCACTGCGATGGACAACTGCAAGTCTCAAAGTGTATCACAGTGTTCGGTACCTGGTACATACCGACAAACAACCTGTTGAACCCTACCGATGCATTCATTTCATCACTTGATGTGTCTAGATTGCTGAGATCAAGTCTACGGGTTGATCTCAACTGCGATGCGGTACCTCGATGTACTGGCAGATGGAGTCGATGTTGCGGAGCCCAGGCCTTAGCTATCATGGGCTTGGTTTATGACGCACCAACCTGCTAACTGAAGAACAAACTTACTTCAGACCCATGGTAGGCCAAAGTCAACATTTTGGCCTTGCGTTGTTTTTTTGCTGCACCTGTACTGAAGATAGCCAAATGATTTGTTGCTGTGTTTGTTCGGCCATCTTACACCACATTTTGAAGTTATAAATGAAAGAATGTATAGTATAGTTCGAGGATGTTTGAAGGCTATTTACTAAATTTACCAAATATCAAGAGCAGCCCTGCTCAAGCTGAAGTGGTACGATGAGGATGGGATGGGGGGGTTGTCAACGTTCATGTCAATTCAAGTTGTTGAAGTGTGCCCTGCAAGTTGCACTCTCAAAAGCGTAGAGTTAGGGTGGCCGGGGCGTCCAACTGTGTCAGTTACAGGGTCATGTCGCATGTCCTGCTGGTGGGTCGCTGGGCTATATTTTGTTGACCTTCCTTTGACATTCTCTTCTTGCATATTGAAGTGGCAGGGAAACGAGTGGAATTGAATTGTGATTTTGCTTTGCACACTGCCCACACTGCAAGATCCCATTGGGGTGCTGTTGGTCTTCGTTCAATTTTTTGAGGACGCGTGAGGGTTGCATAGTTGGTCACATTGTGTTTTGCTTTGCTGTGCGTTTGGGGTGGGGACTAGTCCTGGGCCTTGGCTTGAACACGCAGGCGTGTGAACATGAAGCAGTTTTGGGACAGTAGGGTCACTTGTGCCACATCGTCGGCTATACTTAAATCTGAATCTGGACTGGTGCACTGGAGATGTCGGCAAGTAGTTGGCTGACATGTCAGAACCGGTTCTAGGTTCACTTGTGAGACAGTTGTGATCAAGAAAGCCACTTAGAAGGTTAAGGCGGCAAAAACCACTGAACAAGAAACACATTTTAGAATATTGTGTCACCGCGATGAGCTGATGAGAAGTGAGTCAAAGAAATCCACGGGATTTGTGCTATGTTCCAAACATCCCCAACTTGCAAAGCCCAGAGAATTTGCCAAAGCCACAATGAGCCAAATTAGGGAGTAGCTTGGTTGTCATCAATTAAGCCCCATCAAATGCAATTTTGGGCCAGACGACCAATCATGAACCATGTGTTCACATTAGCATGTTGGTCTGCTTGGCCCGAGGAAAATAGAGCATATCCTTCACAGGATTGGAGTCAGGCAGTGGATTGGTGAGAAGGCAAAAATCAGAGTGCAGTACATCAGCGGGGTCCGAAATTGGAAACAGTGGTCTCTCGATTAAACTTGTCCCTGTGTCAAGTTAGTCTTCACATTTGTCTTGTCATTAATGAACTGCTAAGTCACTTTGATTCCAATCCTTGAGGGCGCAGCTTTTGACTGCCAGTTGGCTGAGCTCCGAGGCTATCAGCAGCACCAGTGACCTATGCAGGTGGGCTCAAGACGGATGAATCAGGCTTGCACGCTTTCATCTTCATGCGGCGTTCAGGCAGGGAAAGAAAACAAGACCCACCGTTCTAAAAAGTATGGCAACTGCAGAAACATTCAGTATATTTCGGATGTCCAATCAAGATCGATCATTTGTCAGCATCAAATTTCAACCTTGCAGCCAGCTTTGCCTGACAGACATCCCGTCCAACATGAAGATTGAAAGCCACGGTCGTGGAGCTGGGCTCGAGGCTCATGAGTCCGATGCAGTCCTGATGGTCAAACGAAATGCTGCAGATCCAAATTTGGCACAGGACATTGTTCTTTATGTTCAAAAACCACGCAATTGCAGGCATGGGCCCCCTATATTCTGCACTAGACCAAAACAGTTTGCAGGATCCTCTTCTTGCGTTCCCCTTTCGCTACGTCAGCAGATTGGGGCCGCTGCCATCTGAGCCCCGTCGACTGAAGATGATAAAACCAGCCAAAAAAAAAGGATTATTTGTCCTTAGCGAACATTCTTCTTCAGACCCAACCAACTGAGGCCACTCGAAGGTCTGTTGAATTTTTACTTGAAATTTGCACCTCTTGTGATGCATCGGCTGTTCCTCGTATCGAATGGATTGAGGATGAGCCAGAGGTGCCCGTTGTCGAATTGGGCCAACCTTCGGCCTTGGGGCGAATCTGCCCATTGATGGCATTCCGTGCTATATTGAAACCATAGAGAAATTTCTCACTTAGCCACTTGAATCCCATTTTTTTGCTTGGCGCCAAAATACAATTTTCAAGCAGCATTTTGTGGGTTTGGTGTATCTATGGGGTTTTGGCTTTTCCATGTACTTCAACCTCAGACTCCAAATACCAGCGCTTCAAGTTTTGGAAAGAATTCAAGCTGATGCGGCTGATGCCACCGCGCCGTGTTGTCAACACTGCTAGCGATTCTGTGCTATGTGACAGTCCTGTGAATGTGTCTGTGTACAACTTGATTTCGCTCATCGGTTTGAAGGCATTTTTGCTGTGGGAACCGAATGGGAAGCTAGTTAGTTAGGCGGTTTTGCCAGGGTACAAAACTGTCCTTTCCAGCAGGCGGGGAATCAACGCTTTTTCACCGCGAAACTGTTGTTTTGGTGATGATCCCAACTAGTCCCTGGTCATGAAGCAAGCTGAAACTTGGTTGAAGGCATGTCCCAGCCACCTGCTTCTGCCGACCAATCTACGGGTGTCCTTGAGAAGGTTGGGACAGCACCTATAACCACAGTGTTGATGTTCTACCTTGGTGCCGACGTTCCACGACTGACCAAAACATTTGTTGACTATGGTTGGCTTACTTATTTTATTTCGCTTGAGAACTCGTGGGTTTTCTTTCTGTCAGGAAACTATCGTTATTCCTGACGAGCCAACCCCCCAGAAGAAAATGGATCCCGAATCCGAGGACCGCTTCAACTACAAGAATTGTGTCATTTGCACTGCCAGTTTTGATTGCTTTGTCAGTTTCGCAAGTCGTTTTTTGCACAACCCCAATGTCATTCAACCAATCGCAGACCTATTGGCCGCAAGATGATCCGGATCATTGGTCTTATTATGAAGATAGCCAGGCTGGGACAATGATTGGAAAATATTGGTTCCATTGCAGTGAGCCAAACTTCTAACAGTATCTCAGTTTTGTCGCAACTTCTGTGCGAAGCTTAAACACGTTTGAGGTAACCCTGCATCTTCTTGCAGTCAGGGGGGAGGCTCGCAACCCAGAAATGACGTTCATAGTGCTTGTGTCTAGAGCCTGCACTTTTCTTTGCTGAGCCCTGGGCTGATCTGGAGGAGATTGCCTGAAGTTCAGATGATGTTCCAATAAAATTTGAGCTGTTCCAAACCATGGGGTCAGGTCCCAAAGCGATTTCTAAATGGCGATGTTCCTTGGAGTGAGGAATATGCAAATAAGGCCTGGGTTTTCTGTCAACTTCCACGCGCGTACTTGAAATTTGCCGTGTATCAAACATTTAGCCTTCTAATTGTGGTGACGGTGGCCTTGTCCCCCGGGTAAGCCGCAAGCTCCAGTTCTATGGCCAATGCCAAGCCGGACCCTGCCATTCCGTACAGCACATTTGAAATCTTGCTGTCCCTGTCAGATGTCGCATGAACTGTTCAGTCAATGTTCTACTCATGTCACGGTCCAATTTCATGCCAGAATTTTGGTGCATCAAATGGGTGTGAAACGTGTTCTGTCATGTTTTCTCCATGTGCTTGTCAAGTGTCCCACTCGTTATAAATCGCCCATGACATAAAGAACAACTTCCCTGTTGCTCTTCTATGATACGTTTCGCTTCAATTTCGTTTCATGGATCACAATTGTTGTGCATGTCCTGGATCTTATCTCCAACATGCTGTCAATATCTGTCATTAAATCATTTTACAGTGTGAGATGACGAAGAGATAAACAATCTTGATTTCTGACAGGCCCCACCGCCGCCAGAGCAGAACTTTGCTGTCCCCGGAGAGGAAGAGGTGAGCATCTAGACCACCAATCAGTTCGCAGAGTATTTCAATAGTTAAAAGGACAAAAATCAAGTTTGTTCAATGATGTGCCAGGCCCCACCTTCGAAGAAGCGCTGCTTAGACGAGCCCAATGAGGAAGTGCAGTGATTCAGCAGAAACCTTGGGATGCGATCAGGTGTAAAAAAAATTGCAGACCCTCAATGTCCTGTCCTGTCAAAACATGAGCCGGATTCAGCTCTGAAACACTTGGTGGACTCTATCATTAGCAATTGCTGATGATCAATTCTTTACTTCGAAGATTTGGCCCATCTCACTGACTTAAAGGCTGACTTCTGAGATTTGCGCTTGCTAGCGACTTGTGCAAGATAAGCGATGGCAAAGCCCAAGCGATGCAGCCTCCGTGAAGCTGTGCGGATGCTGAGCCGACAAGACAGTGGGAGGCCAGCTTGCCACATATCAGCTCTAGTTCTTGGAATCATGCGATGATGTTGACATTTATGCAGATTCAAATTCGCCGTATAAAGGTGCCATTTCTGTTGCAGGATCTTGGAAAAAAAACGCCAGTGAGGCACTCAGCCATCTCAAGATTTGGCATGGACTCTTGACACACCTTCAGGTCATTGAACCTCAAACATGTATCCGACAATGCCTCAATGGACCTGGTTTTGAGCAAGCCTGTTCTTTGTCTTACATCGAAGTCGACCCAATGATTGCTCAGGCGCCCCGTGAAAAGCGTGAAAAAAGCGATTGCCAAGCCAAAATTGTGTTGTGCTCAGATTGTTGTGTCTACGTCGTGTGCTGACCTGTGTTTGTCTCAGATTACATGCCAAACTGGTGCTCTGGCGCAGAAGTGCGTTTAAGATGCAAATCTTTTTGAAGGAATTCTGCTTGGCATCACCATCCCAAACCAAGTCGGGATGGAAAGCAGTCACAAAAAAAATCTAATCACATTATATACCACTTTCAGTGATATCCACTCACTGTGTTTTTGTGTCTCAACATAAACACTCTGTAAAGTATGTAACGTACATCATTACAAACTGTCACAACCATGACACTTACACAATAAAATAGGGTAGCACAAAGTTTGCATGTTTTTTTCACAGCGTTTCTGGTCCCACAAAAAATACCATACAGCATTTGGGAATATACTTGCCCCATAATCAGACAAACCCGAACGATTCCCATGGAACAAATCCCGTTTGTCAGCTTCTATGTGGCAACCCGAGCCACTTCTCAGGATGAAGTATCCCAAGACGTCTGTGCCTGTGCCCGTATCTGGGAGACCGGTCCGATTCCAGAGCGTCCTGTCGACATACACCTGGCCAGACAAGTGGGTCAACTGCGTGGCTCACCGCTTTGGAAAGGAATGGCTGGTGGCCAAGTTCAGAAAATGGCGCTAGAACGTTACGACGTCGTTCAGTGGTATTGGGGCGGCTGAATCTGCAACTTGTTGGACAAATCAAATGTATTACTGTAGCCTGAAATTGGCCGCAATATTCGTGAAGAGTTGAAGTGTTGCCTTAGCAGGATTCTTTACACCCTTTTATTGCCGAGTCATGTGGAGGTATGTGGAGTCATGTTGCCTAAGGCAGCTCTCAGTCTCCAAGCCGCAGCCCGACAGTTTATGGCCAAGAACTCTTCTGACCAAAAAATGTTAAAGCATGTTATCTTGCAATCTAGTTGCGAGATCGACAAAGACTGCCAGACGGTGCTGAGACAAACGTACGGACATTGCAATTACCCTGACATTCTTGACTTGAACTTGGGCTCCAAGAAGGGTAACTATTGCACTGTCCATGGCAAATTCTGCAAACCACCCCCGACAAGCTCAGGTCGTACCTTGCCGAAATCCAGCCATTCAGTTGTTGAGTTTTGCACTTTTACCTTGTTTGTCCATTTGAGCTTCAAACTGACATCCCTTCAATGGGATATCCGAGCCTCAAGCCGTTCAGGCATAGATGTCAATATTGCTGGTGCTTTCCTCAGTTGCAAAGCTTTCAGTTTTTGTGCAAATGCATTCCAAAAACCAACATGAGTTTGGGGATGCCTGTCACGTTGCCATCTTTGATTTCTACAGGTCCAGTATGCATCTCATATTCGATGATGGGGAACCGGGGCTGTGACAAAGACCCTTGCATGAAGACCCACAGAAAGCAGTACAAAGAGTTCAAGAAACTTTGCCAGCTATTATGCATCGAGAACGTGTGTGAATATTCCGTGCCCCTGGTCAAGTCAGAGCTTGGGCCGCAGTGGACCGTCATGTTCACTCGTTTGGACTCTCGGCTGTTTGGTGTGCCAGTAGCGCGAGCCAGGTTGTACCTCCTTGCTTTTCGCAACGATGTGCTTCAATGGGCCAGTGATTTGACGTTGGATGACTTCGTGGCCATGATGTCAAGTGAGTGCGTGATGTCTGCACGAAACCTATTCTGGATGAGTGCCCCGGAAAAGGAACTCACAAATGCTGAAGTGCCATGGTTGCATGCAAGAGTGATCCATTGGATCCAAGTTTTCCACAGCCAGTTTTTGAAACAGTGCAGGGTGATTACGTCAACATGGATGTCTCATTGTGTCTCAGGCGAAAAATTTGGAGGCGTATCGACAGTTGAAGGATTTCTCTTTCCCCGATTTGTCGCAGTACGCCAAGAACAGCCGGGCCCGTGGTGAACTGAAGGATGGGTGTCTGATGACCCTCACTACGAACTGCAGCAAAATCTTTTCTGAGGACCCGTCTGGTTGTTGGGCCATCTTGATGTCACGCACAATCATCATGATGATGAAACGTATTTTCCTGTGAGCAGCAGGCTGGGACTTGTGATTCTCATATATGTCTTTGCAGGAACATGGCAGATTCATGCAAGGGAAGGAGCTCTTGACTGCCCAGACCCTTCCTGCTACTAGGCTCCAGTCTGAGACTTGCCGAGCCCCACAGTTGGCTTTGGGGAATGTCAAAGCAAGTTCCCTTCCCAAAATGGCGGGGAATTCCATGTCAGTTCCGTGCCTGGGATGCGTGTTGCTTGCAGCTATTTGCTGCATCGAACCAATCCCCAAATGATGATTGTTTTTTCAATGTATGGCTCGTCATGCGCAAGCTTGGGTGAAAATTTCAAGATTTCAGAGAGCAGGGGAACCCAAACAATTAAACCCAAACAACTGTTTTGCTTTCATGAACCGTCCTTCTGATTCAGATTTTGTGGATCACCTTCGCTTGCTTGATCAAATCGCATGCCGCATGACGAAGATTCCGTGGCCATTCTTCATGTCTACCTGAAACTGAACATAGTAGTTTTCAGTAGTCTTCAGTCCAAACTTATTGCTTGTGCACGCCCTGCCTTGAAGTTGGTTCGGAGAATTGAGAATCTCCTGCCTGCACGCCAATGGCTGACTGTGACAGCTATCATTCGTCAGAAGTGTTTTCTACAGCCGACAACTTGACAAAGGGTTGGCTGTCTCCATTCTTTAGGCCAATCTACCGGGAGTATGTTCTCACCAAGTGTTGTGGAGACGGCCCAGCTGCTTCTGACTTTGCTGTTCCTAAATAAAGATGAAAAGTAATTAGGAGGTTAATTAAGAGCAAACCTGCGCGTACCTGCCATGTGACTGCAAAAAAGTCTTGGGTAGACATGGTCGACGTGCTTTAGATGATCTTCCAAAGGGCACTATCATCCAGTCCAAACACACAAACACACAGGTCACAGTACCGCGCGTGTCAAGTTCGATCGATTTCGCACCTCTTGCTCGAAGGTTTTTTCCAACGTTTCCAACCATGGGGAAACGAGCCTCAGGGGCAGGTTCTGAGCAGCCTGCTAAGACTGCCAGGAAAACGCCATGGGTATCTCGAATTTTGGAAGGTGTTCAGAACTTTGGCTGAATTCTGTAGGCCAAGGCTGCCAACTGTTTACCGCTTGGGAACTGAGAGTGCCAGCTTGGCACATGTTTTACATCAGCGCTCTTGTGCCTATCTTTTTGGCTGCAGGAAGTTTGATCCGGACCAAGACGAGCACCCTGTCAAATATCTCTTGGACAAGCTTGCCAACCCTGGTCTGTATGACGCCCTTCGCAGTTGGCTGCTGAGTGATGTTGAAGTTCGAATAGACGATCCAACACGCATGGACATTCCTGTATCTAATGCTGAACCAGAGACAGGAAAACTTTTTGCTGTTTCCCATGAAAAAAGGAATCTGGGTACTTACTTGATACTTTCACCTGATAGGCCTTGGTGAAGGTATAGGTCTGGGTGAAGGTATTCTCTGCTGGTAAGACCCGATTGGAAAATCGAGTAAAAGTGGAATCCGGATACTTAGTTGTACCTTCACCTGACAGGTCTTGGTGAAGATGTTCTCTGCTGGTAAGATCTTGGAAAAATCGAAAAAATTGGGACTCTGGCTATTCATTTGATACCTTCACCAAGACCTATCACCGCTGCACTGGGGACTCTGGTAAGATCTTGGCAAAGTCGATGAGAAGGGGGAACCGATGATTTTTAGTGATTATATTCCTTGGGTCCACGGAGATCTCCCACTTAATTAAGAAATACCACACCCTTGCACCCCGAGGCAGCAGATGGCAGTGTGATCCTGGTCCCCGTGCTGGCTATGTGGTACACGATGCCAGCGGATGGATTGCCTCACCTTGCACACTGGGTCAACACAGCGTCTGATATTTTCAGTCAGGGATTTGAGTCGCATCGGGAAACTATAGAAGTCAAAGTGAGGGACCCCACTGACCACATGGCTAAGCTGGAGGTCTCCAAAGGTGCTGGGCGTGCGTCCATCATACTTTTCGCTTTGGTGTGGAGCTATCTGGAAATTGGAGCTGCAATGACCGATGAGGAGCTTCGAGATTTCAAAAGGCAAGCTGGGTCTGCATAAACAGTTAATGAACCAGCTTGACTTGGTAGATCTTGGTAGCAAAGACATGCCAAATATGAAGCACATCCGTTTCAGGACCAAAATTTTGCATATTTTACTTGCCTAGCCCAGAGCTACATTTTAGATTTTTTGAAGAATGAACCCAACTGAAAAAGTTTTAGCCCCTCCAGAACGTTTTAATACCTGCAGATGTCATGGGAGTAGCCGGACATACCAAAAAAAACGCAAACTCCCATGTCATGTGCAGAGTGAAGCAAATTAAACGCAAAACTCCAATGTCATCTGTAAAGTGCATCGAAAAAATATTACATTACATAGGACCTCTGCAATAACATAGGACCTCCGCAATTGTTTCTTTACTCAGTCAATGCCTAAACTTTAAACTTTGTTCCCTTGGGTCCGCGGGCGCGCCCCTGGGTATCCAAAAATAAGCATGTGGGGGCGGGCGCGCGCGGACCCAATGAAAAAAGTTTAAGTTTTTTCCCGGGAGATCACCCGCTGAACAGGTTTGGGTTCTCCAAGATGCAAAACATGTTATGTGAACTAACTCACACACCCTAGACTTCACTTACATGAGCAAAGAAATGAGATGCGGGTATTTGCGTGTATATGATCCGCGTTCCAATTTTCCATTTGAAAATGGAATGCCCAAACCCCTTCCCATGCTTCGTTTTGGAGCCTTCCTTAGTCCTTGGTTCCTGCCAGTTCTCACCTTGGAAGTCCCGATACCGATACACCTCAACAAGAAGTTGGCTTGCCGTAGGATTGGGGTTGGGGGTTGCTGGGACTCGGTTTGGGGGTTGCTGTAGGATTTGGTTTGGGGCTTGGTGCCATTTTGCAGCTAAAATTGGTCTCAAAAATGTGCCCCAGTAAGAGTCTTGAAACATACGCCTACTGGGGCAGGGTGCCAATCCTTTCCTAACCCCTTTCCACCCCATTCTTGGGAAGCATGGGCAGCCTAAACCCCTCCCCATGCTTCATTCTGAGGCTTCCCAAACCCTTCCCACAGCACTCTTGGGAACCACGAAAAATTCAACCACTTTTTCATGGTTCGTTTTAAGCAGCCCAACCCCCTCCCCATGCTTCATTTTGAGCCTTCCCAAACCGCATCCTTGGGAAGCATGGGCAGCCCAAACCCCTCCCCATGCTTCATTTTGAGCCTTCCCCACCACACTCTTGAGAACAAGTCAAAGCAGCGTTCGACCTGGGAGAAAAAAGAATTTAACCAGATTCCCTTTGAAAGGGATCCTCCGGGTGAAAGGGGCTTCATTTTGGGGACCTTTTTGGCGCAGGCCCCCCTAGAACTCCTTTCACCCTGAGGACCCCTTTCAAAGGAAATCTTGTTGTTTGCAGATGTTTTCTCCTGGAAGTCCCAAGGTTCTTGTCGGATTTTCCCATGTCTAAAAAGGGGTGAAAATACCTGCATGGAATGGTCCCGACATGGACGGATGCTCTTATTCCCATGTTTGTGACCAGACTTGGACTTGATATATAGATGTTTAGTCCTTTGGCTGATTGATAGTTTGGGAATGGTTCTTTGGCAAATTGATACTTTGCAACATGTTTAGTTCTTTGGCAAATTGATAGTTTGGGAACGGTTCTTTGGCAAATTGATACTTTGCAACATGTTTAGTTCTTTGGCAAATTGATAGTTTGGGAACGGTTCTTTGGCAAATTGATACTTTGCAACATGTTTGGTTCTTTGGCAAATTGATAATTTGGGAACGGTTCTTTGGCAAATTGATAATTTGGGAACGGTTCTTTGGCAAATTGACAATCTGGGTCGTCCTTTGCCACGTAAAAGAGACAAACCTCAGGGGGTGATGGTCCGGGTGTAACCATCGTCCCCGGAGCCAGTGACAATATGTCCAAGTGACTCATCTGACTGCTCAAGTCCAATTTCTGAAGTTGCAGCCTGTAGCCGGATGATTGATGGGTTGCCCAAACACGTCCAAATGATATTAAATTCTAATCTAAGTTGACAGATCCTGGCCCTGACAGGCTGCCAGGGGGTGATGGTTACAGTGGGAGCATCGTCCCCGAGACATTCAAGATTCGAACGCCCAAGGGATGAAGTTGATATACCCCAAAGATATTCAAGCCTCGCAAAATATCAATTTGGGTCCCTTCCGTCATGGCCCAAACTGAGACCGAAGCTGAGTTACCATCATTTTGATATCTAATAACCGACTACCAACTGTAGTTCGGTCAAGTTTCTGTATCAGCATGATAAGCCACAAACTGTTGAATAACCTGTGGGGCATTCTTGTTGTCGCAATATTATCAAGGCAGTGTGTGAACAGCAACGACGAGCTTATAGCCAATATGTGGATGATAACTTTGCTCAGCTTGAGAGGTTGATTTGTTTGACTCGATATACTGACTGTTACTGACCAACCTCCTCTTCCCGGTTTAAAATCTGAATTCGCCAGTCTCTGCGCTCCATGTGCTCCTGGCAGGTGGCTTCAAACTGTTCTGCTCATCACAGTGTGTGTTATGCACCCCGAGAAGACAAGCGATCTGGAATGGAGGCGGCTGCAGGTCCATGAGCAGCAGAGCGAACGTCAAAAAAAGTCGCATGTCCAGAAGGCTTTGATTTTCGCAAGAAGGGCTCAACAGAAACTGACACAGGAACGGGGCTGCGAGCTTTCCATCATCACCACCAGTCATCAACAAACGTTCCCATGGTATCAACGTGTTTATCTGTTTTCAAGTGCTTGAAACCATGGATTTTGTCTCCACGAGAAGTCTTTCCGCCATTGATTGAAATGATACAGTTCGTTGACATGTTGTCCCTGGACAGGAGCCGAGCAAGTATCAAGGCCAAGATGGCTACAAACAAGCGTTCATGGACGGTGTGGCGGAGTACAACAATTATGGTTCTGCCGTGACGAATCCCAAGTACCGAATTGATGACGAGCAAGCCCTATCTCTCTATGCGTTCAAAGCTACTGGCTTGCACCCTAAAGAGTCAAGATGGGGACAAATAAATCGTCGCAACAGGCAACAGCATAGCGGCAAGAACATGCAAGAACTAACACTAGACAACCGAGATGGGTCAGATGGGGACAAAGCTTCGCACCATGCCAGCAGTATTCACATTCTAAACAGTGCCAAGCGACCCCTGCCTATGCATAATTCATGTGATGTCCCCGCAATCTGGATAAACTTACTGAAACTATTTTTGCATGGCTGCCAAAAAAAATAATCCATGGGCGTAAGTTTTGGAACCGAGAGGCACAAACATACCTGGGTAAAGTTCCCATACAGTGATTCAGCCATTGGAGGTCTGAATGATATGATTTGCTTGCATGTTAACCCAAGTAGGAGGCCACTGGATGAAGTTATAATGACTCCATGCACATTCTATTGGGTTGCAAGCCGAAATATGATGGAAACCATTTGAAACTTGATTGGGGCATTATTTACGCAGAAATTGGTCCCACTAAGGTTTGTGAGAATGAAAGGCGTACTGTCGGCCAAACTGTGGGACGGTTTTTGGTTATTCCGATGGACAACCGCCCCTTTATTATGTTGAAATTGTAGCATTTCCACGACCAATCCTCCCTGCCTCAATTTGTCTTCTTGACTTGTTGGGCTCTGCATTTTCCTGGCAGGTTGGCGTGTGTGTCACAGCTTGGCCACTTTTGGAACGACACTTGCACAAGTATCCTTTCACTAGCTCAGGCAAGGGGTTCTTATCCAGATCACCTGACAAACATCGACATCTGCCATGATCCCCCAAGTACGATTCAGGGAAGGGTTTGCAGTTTGCAGTACTATGTTTTAATTGGTTGGCTGGGTTGTGGGATTAAGCGAGAACCCTGCTAGCCTTCAGCCGGGACACCATCGTGGACACTCGGTGGCTGCTGGGAGGGCTATCAAGGCATGCAAATGGCAATTGGTACCACATGTTGCAGATGACACCGATCAAACAAGAGTTGTTTTTGGAAAGGATCTTTCACCTCCATGATATCTCCACAAGGAGAGCTGGCAAGGCTTCCGTGGTGCGTCTGGCTCCAGATCAATTTGCCTTGGAATGCGACCGGATGTGCTTCCAGGCCTTCGTGTTGGAGCAAATGGAAGCTACCCCAGACTCTTTCCCTGCAGACACTTTGCGAAAGGTCCGGTTGGGCATGATTGAAGGGAAGCTTGTCTGTGTTGTTGGCAGCGTGCTATGCAAGTTTCTCCTTTGACATTTGACAACTTCCTCATTGGGTATCCTTCCCATTAAGTTTTTTTCCCTTGGGTCCGCGCTGAAAAAAATCAAGAAAAAAGGTTTGAAGTTCAGCAACTGGCTGAGTAAGACAACCAAGTAGGTTATGTTTCCCATATGGTCAAGTTGAACAAACCTTTTTGTGTAGATATGTCATAGCTAGTTTGTTTTCGCTCTTGACGCTATCTCAGGGACTACTTGACGGAAATCATGGAAGCCTTGACGGCGAAGGACCCACAGTTCCAGATTGGTGAAATGGCCCTGTGGACCGACCACCAGTGTGAATCTCAGCACACAGTGGCAGATTCAGCCCTGGAAAAAGCCAACGCTCGGCTTGAGTGCCTATCAAATGACGCGCGCAAGGCGGCGTGGGAACACGATTGCCTCCTTTTAGCCAAGGACACGTCGGCAATTGGAAAAGTTTTTCATTCATGTGAGAAGAGTGAGCGGGCTGAGCGCTTGAAGAAAATCACGCACATGAGGGCTGAGAACACGATTGGGAGCAATATCGTGGAGGCCTTCATGGGCAAGCATGCATGTCACAAAGCTGGGACTGAGAGCGACGTCTTGACCCTCGTGGACCAGCTCATAGCAGCTCGCAAGCCTACAAGTGGACCTGCGCAAGGGCTGTTGGTTTGGGCTGACCTGACGAAATTTGGACGAATGGACAACAAGCAGCTGAACTTTGCCACTGCTGTCTTGGACAAGGTCCTTTCGAAGAATCCAACGACTGCGGTTGGGATTATCTTGGCGCCCCACTTGGTGTCCGAAAAAGTAACTGGTGGCCTACGTGGAGAGATCAGGTTTCTTGCTTTGAGACTTTATTCGTAGAATTGATTCCCATTCTTGTCCCTGAATGAGACTTGTTGACTGGTCAGTTCGTTTGCGCCGCTATTCTGGCGACAAACAGCCCAGGAGAATAGAAGACAAACTAGACTCTCGACGCTTGGGAAGCCAGCTTATCACGCTGCGGATGGATGCGCCGCCCTCATCAAAGAGGGTTTCTATGAACATGTGGGGCTGGCTGGTTTGGCAGGAGGATTCTTGGTCGTCGAACATGTTTCGCGAATGCGAACTCGCCATGCTGAGGTGGGGTGAAGTGTTACATGGGAATCTCTCAAAATAGTTGGATCCCGAAACTTTCTATTTTCCAATTAAAAGTGAAGTTTCGCGATCCCCCTATTCTGAGACATTCGCAAATGTCATGTTTTTCCAACCCCATTTTAGATGTTTCATAGCTTTCCATGGGGTCCAAAAAACAGTAGAGCAAGCCAACCCTGCAGGTCTCCAAAGGCAACAATTCCATGGCAGCCAGAGACAACCTACATCGTGCCAGTGGCTGAGAAAGATGGTGTCCCTCACGCTTCAGAGGGTCAACAATGATTTGGCTAATCTAAATATCGCCAAACAACGAATTTTTCTGGGTTCGGGGGTCTCAAGAGATCCAATTAAGCACTGAGAGAATTGTGTTTTTTTCCTCTGCTGATGTTGGTGCTTGTGCTTGATGGGAATTGGGCTCCAATTATCAACTATACCAACTTCCAAACAAATCATAAAAAACGGGAAGCCTAAAAGTATGTCAACTAACTGAAGGAAGTTTAGAAGCCAAACTTCCGACAATGTGGACAGATGAAAAGCAGAGATGGGAAGAGTCAGGGAAGAGAAGACAAGAGAAGAGAAGAGAAGAGAAGAAAGAAGATCAAAAAAGAGAAAGTCTCAGAAGAAAGATCCAGGTGCGCGAAAAGGTAGGAAAGTCGCGAAACACTGTGTTTTTCCGATGATTTGTGGCTCAGGAGGGCCAAAAAGTAGGCTCGCTAAAGCGGCGGGTGCGGAGCCAGCTGGCCAGATGAGAGATGAAAAATTGTACGCCGTTGTGGCGCGAAGCACATTTCCAAGTCAAAATGTACAAAGCACACCAAGTTCGGACCACTTTTGGAAAGTGAGATGATGAAAAAGTGCACGCCGTTGTGGCGCAAAACACATTTCGAAGTCAAAATGTACAAAGCACACCAAGTTCGGACCACTTTTGGAAAGTGAGATGATGGAAAAGTGCACGCCGTTGTGGCGCAAGACACATTTCGAAGTCAGAATGTACAAAGCACACCAGGTTCGGACCACTTTTGGAAATTGAGATGATGAAAAAGTGCACGCCGTTGTGGCGCGAAGCACATTTCGAAGTCAAAAGTGTCAAAGGCTGACGGGTTCGGAACACTTTTGGACGTTCAGATGTCGTTTCACGTGGCAGGCGCAAGGGATTATGCAGCTTGTCAAGAGTGAGCAAAACGTGAGGGTTTTGTAGCATTTCCAAAAACGATGGCAGGCGTGGGACATTTGAAGAGGACCTGGCAAGATTCATTTTCCGTGGCAGGCACAGTACAAGAGACACGTTCATCAGAGATGTTAGCAGGTCCGGGCGCTGATTTCCTGAGAAGGGTTGCATTTTGGAGCATCAGATCTTAAGTTTTGGGAAGATGATTTTGCGTGACAGGTGCAGCACTTCGCATGACCTGGCATCACCTTTTTGTGGCAGGCGCAGCACTTTAGACAGGTGGAGTGGAAAAAGCGCAAAACCCATTGGTACGAGGCCATCAGCTCTGCACTCAACTTTCCATTTCTGAAGGATGTCTTGCAGAACTGTTTGTTTTTGATGTTGTCAACTTCGAAATTGAGAAAGTCTCACAAACTTGTTTCGTTTTTGATGTTGTCAAATTTAAAAATTGAGGAAGTCTCGCAGAATTGCTTCGTTTTTGATGTTGTCAAGTTCAAAAATTTAGGAAGTCTTGCAGAATAGCTTCGTTTTCAAACTTGCAGACAGACAGACAGATAGATAAACAGAAAACAAATAGATAAACATATTTATAGATAGACAGGTAGATAGACAACTGCAACTGCACTACACCACAGTACAACTACAACTACAACTTCAACTACAACTGCCACTACACGACCACTACAGCTACAACTTCAACTATACTTCAACTACAAGAGCTACAGCTACAACCGCCACTACAACTTCAACTGAAATTCAACTACAACTACAACCTCAACTACGATTACTACAACTACAAGTACAAGTCCCACTGCAACTACAACTACAATTACACCACAACTGCAGCTACGGCTGCAACTACAATTACAACCTCAGCTACGCTACTATTACACTTCAACTACAACTTCAACTTCAAATACACTACTACAACAACAATTACCACAACACTACACTACAACTACAACTACAGCTACAACTACAGCTACAACAACAACTACAGCTACAGTTACAACTACAACTGCAGCTCCTACAACTATTGCAACTACTAACTACAATTCCTACAACCAAGGCAAATAAATAAAACTTCAACTACACTTCAGCCACACTACAACTACAACCACAACTACAACTACAACATCAACCCCCACTACAACCACAACTACAACTACAACTACAACTACAACTACAACTACGTACAGCTACTGCGCTACACCACGCTACATCCAGGAGTTGTGAGTGAGGTGACCACTGCAACCAATGCAGCCACTCCAAAAAGCACAACTCCAACCACCTTCCGGTCCATCAGTGGATTCGCTCTGCCATCCATGCATCACAACAACTCACCTCTCCTATAGTGTCCTATCCTTGAAACCTTCGCCACCGCCTCGTGCGGTACTACTGGTAAACAATTTATTTGCTTGGCGAATATCTACACTTTAATTTTTTCTCGCGGCGCAGCCCGATATAAATGCAATGAACATAGATCTTTTTTTGAAGGAACCCTACTGCCATGTTGAGAACATACTGTATTATATTCTCCAATTTGTCTACCTGTTTGGGGGTTACTGCAACCATGTCCCAGGAGCTTGTCGGACGTTCAAGAGGCAGCGCAGCTTCTTTCAGGGGAGCATGTCCCATCCAGTCTTTTGGGAGCTGTTCTGGGGAAAATTCGCCTTGGTGGGGCTACTGTTGTCAACATCACACCATACGATGCGTGGCTTGAGCGCGTATGCCTGGACTGGCACAAGACCGAGCCCATCAGAATTTCCCACATCAGCGTGAGTTTGAACGGTAACCTGATCGACTATGTTCAGAAAGTTTTGGCGCTGAAGTTGATGGAGGTTCGGATTATTGAAAAGTGGGAAAAAAGAACCAGGGGTCCTTTTTGCAGAGTTTTTAGCTCTTTTGGCAGTGGCAAACCGGCCGCCAACCCTTTCAAACCATTTCCAGCAAACGCCTTGTTCAATTTAGGCTGGAATCTTTATTCAAGTTTGACCAGCACCTCAGTTTGAATCAAAAGCATGTTGGCCCGAAGGCCTGGAAAAAGGGCGACCATCCTATGAGAGATGATGTGCGGCCTTACTGCCCAGAGCCCCCTGCCGCCGGTGACACAACTGAAATCAATCTTGGTGACTACGGTTTCAAGCTTGTCCAGGTATCAGTGGACAACCGGAAATCTGGCTGGGCAAAATTCAGCTTCAAGCTTCCCCAAGCAGTCAGGGCTATGTACCACAACGACGTGGTCTACGGTGCTGAGTGGCGAGCTTTGATCAAGGACTTTGATGACAGGTTTCTCAACTTATTATCTCAATCTTTGACTTGCTGGTCAAGCCAACCTTTAGCATTTGGAATGTCATCGGGGGTCACTTCTACTTCGTAAAGCTTTTACATTAATCGCATTGCGTTTTATTCATCAGGTCATTGTATGTTTTCGGGCCCCAAGTCCCTCAGTGCTCCCAGCTGGCCTCTGAAGCTCAGGTTCGACAAGAGCAGCCAGCAGCTGGTTGTGGCGCCTGCACCGCCACCACCCACAGAGCAAACTGTGCAACAGTTGACATGGGATGGAGAGCCTGCAACGGTGCAAGACCTCCTCAATTGCTACAACATGGAATGCAAGTGCTTGGCAAGGTGGGGTGGAACGACCCTATACTTGGTTGATGCCAGGAACCGCATGGGGAAAACTGAGTCTGTAGTGGAAGGACAAGCTTTCAAGCTTTTCATGGAGACTAGTCTCAATTGTCGTGCTTTGTTCATGGGAATTTCTGTGATATCTGTGAAGACCTGTGAAGCAGCCCAATCTCTGCAAGCATTGGGTATTCAGAACCGCTTCTCTAAGGGTGCCCACCTCAACATTCAGATTCCCACAGATGAGTTCGTGATCGGTCATGGGGCCTCTCGGTTCATTTCTGACGTGAAGCTTGCCGACCTCAAGCGAAAGAACAAGTCAGGTAGGCCTTTCCCCGATTGAAACTTTAAGGGTTGCAGCACTCTTAGGAAAACATGGTATGCTGAAACTTGAAACATTCTTGAAGCTATCGATTCTCATGAATGTGGCTCTGCTGACTCTTCCGGACTTGCTGGCTTCATTTATCAGCGGCTCAATTTTCTACATCCGTTGCAGTTGTCCACCTGGCTAGCACAAGTCCAGAGACTTGTGAGTGTATCCCATGTTGGGAAATCTCCTCGCCAAGCATGGCTTTGAAGAGGACCCTGCTTAGCTCAATCTTCAACAGGTTCATTTCCTTTTTTTGTTGCGCATGATGGGTTCAACTGCTTGCACGACTGTGGGCGAAGGACTTTGCTCGCCTAAGTCAAAATGACCCTGGTTTGATTGAAACACCTCCTGCCAGAACTGTCAGGGGCCAAATGGAAATTGTCATTTTCTGTGAAAATAGTGTCGTCTCATTTTCTGTGGCTCGGTGCTCCCCTTATCCAGTCCCGAGGCCCCTGCTGAATCTCCTTCTTCATCCAACGGCGCTGTCTCCTCTGAGGCTCTAGTTGTGAAGTCCGTACCATGACCAAAAAAACAGTTTCCCCGTTTCTGTGTAGCCATATGTTCGCGTTTGTCTGTGGCTAGGGCCAGGTTATGTTCGGTCTCTTTGGTCCTGGCTCTATCTTGAAAACACTTTCTTACTCAGCCAATACCTAAACTTTATATAAAATTGTTTTTTGCCACCAAGCACCCCAGAATTACACCGGCAAGAGGCCCCAAACAATGTGGGGGGTAGGAATTCAATGTACCAGATACCAGCAACAGTAGCTATGGAACAGTAACACATGAGGTTAGACGTCATCGCCTGCAGCAGCAGGACTATGTAGATCTAGAGGAGCTCACACGATCTTCGTACAAGAGCTTCATTCACTGTAAGACATGGCACCTGCAAGATCTGCATGCAAGGACCTCTTAGAGAGGATCCCACCAGGATCTCCACAAGATCTTCTCACAAGGACAACCGTTTTGTGTGAGCCTGCGCAGTCAAAATGCAAATGGACATGTCACAAAAAAGCAAAAATTATGGAATTCATGAGAGAACTTACAGGTAAAATGCCGTAGACTAGATGGATCCCCTGACCGCGACCCGCACTTTGTGCGAGCCTGCACAGTCGAAATGCGCATGGACATGTCACAAAAACATTACGAAAACAATTTTATGCGATAATTTACAAGTAAAATGCTGCAGACCAAGACCGCGACCCACACTTTGTGCGAGCCTGCGCAATCGAAATGCACATGGACATGGCACAAGAGCCATTTGATGCAAGAATTTTCAAATAAAAAAAAACGGAACACAGATGGAGCCCCCTGATCAAGCACCGGCCTTAACGCCTACCGTAAGAACCCCTCAGTGTGGACACGCTGTTTGGGGAATAAGCTTGTTTAAACTTTTTTCGGGGACTACCTATTGAGTAGGTTTTCATTTGTTTGCTGATTTCATGGTAATGCTCTCTAGCATTCACTAGCCGAAATGCATATTTTACATCAGGCATGATATTTATCAGCGCAAATTTTCTCGAACGAAAGTTCCAACCGGCTCTTTTCTCAAGCAAATGTGCACGGCTGGCAGGCAAAAGCTGCGGACAAGAGCAGAAAGAAACTACGACTGGAGGATGCCAAGGAGGTAAGCACTTCCAAGCCTACGACTCTTCCTCTGACAGCTGCAGCAAGCACACCTGAGAACAATCCAACCATGACGCCTGCTGATGTAGAGAAGCTTGAGGATAAGGTCAAGTTAGCGCAGACCAGAGCCAAAGGTGATGCCAAGCTTAGCCGACAGGAATTTTTGCGTGAAAAGTCGACAGCCAAGACCCGTGAGACAAGTGCTCCAGACAGAGAGTCTGCTCTCAGGGCCACCAGCAAGCCCAAGGATGCAGATGGAAGGAGAGTACATTTCGCTAAAGGTGCAAATGGTGAAGCGGGAGTCCCAGAAAAAGACCCTCGCAAGGTTGTGGCTAAGATGGAGAAAGGGACAGTTACTGAAGAAAAGGAGAATATGAAGGAAGCAGCGGTGAAGAACAGGAGTGTCAAGGCGAAGTCGGCTCCGAAAAGGAAGGCAGCTGCCAAAAAAGTGACCAAGAAGGCAGAAATAAGAGATGACGAGGAATCCAACACCTTGGATTCTGAAGAACACTTGAGCGACGATCTTGAAAATCTTGAGGAATCAGAATCAGCAGAATCCGAAGTGGAAAAGGCTGAGGCACGCAAGAAGGTTGAAGAGAAGCAGAAGGCTCACGAACGGAAGAGAGTTCAGTTGGAGAGGGCTGAGGCACGCAAGAAGGTTGCAGAGAAGGAGAAAGCTGAGGAAAGGACGCGACTTCAGTTGGAGAAGGCTGAGGCACTGAGGAAGGAAGAGAAGGAGAAGGCTGACGAAAGGAAGAGGCTTCAGTTGGAGAAGGCTGAGGCGCGCAGGAAGGTTGAAGAGAAGAAGAAGACTGACGAAAGGCAGAGGCTTCAGTTGGAGAAGGCTGAGGCACGCAAGAAGGTTGCAGAGAAGGATAAAGCTGAGGAAAGGAAGCGGCTTCAGTCGGAGAAGGCTGAGGCACTGAGGAAGGAAGAGAAGGAGAAGGCTGACGACAGGAAGAGACTTCAGTTGGAGAAGGCTGACGCAAGGCAGAGGCTTCAGTTGGAGAAGGCTGAGGCACGCAAGACAGTTGAAGAGAAGAAGAAGGCTGACGAAAGGCAGAGGCTTCAGTTGGAGAAGGCTGAGGCACGCAAGAAGGTTGAAGAGAAGAAGCACAGAGACGAACTGAAGAGGATTCAGCTGGAGAAGGCTGAGACACTCAGAAGCTCTGAAGAGAAGGACAAGAAGGACAATAAGGAGCGCGTGAAGCTTCAGAAGCGTAAGCACATCGAGGTCCCAGATGCTGAGAAGCCCAAGCCGGCTGGAAGCGATCTTAGGACAAGACTTGAAAAGAGAGCCAGGACCAAGGTGGAACCAGCTGACGACCAAGAAACTGATGCTGAAAGCGCTGAGAAAGACCAGGACGTGGACATGGAGAGCAACAATGAAGGCGCACGTGATGAGTCCGACGCCAAAAGCGAGATGGATGACACGAAGGAAGATGATGACACGGACAGCGACCCGGATGACAAGGCAAGGTCACAAAGTCAACCGAAACATCTGAAAACCTGCTTGAATGTGTGGTTCATGGCCGACATCCCCATCTCTGTCCTCTGATCAGGGAGATCGGCCCCGTCGCCCTCGAGCCTCAGCGAAGCGCGAGGCAGTTTTAGCTCAAACCAGAGAGAGGTTGAAAGTCCCTATTTCGATTTCTAGATCGGAAACAGTTGCAAAAGGACACCTTCCAAAGAAGACTTTCAACTTTTATTGGCCTCTCACATTTTCATATGTCATGGTCATTTTCTGTAGCCTTCCCCACTTCGAGATTTCAATTCTGAATGTTTTAAGCTTTGACATGGCCTGAGCTGACCTTTCAAGCTGTCATGTTTCACGATCACTGGCTGTTGTTTTCCCTGCTTTGCGATTTGACCCATATCTGAAAATTTGACATCGACTTAGACGATAGAATCCATCAATGAACTCATTGCGTTCAGGCGAGAAAGGGAGTTCCAGGACGAGTTGGTCTCAGGGATGCCTACTACAAGCACATCAAGGAGGCCTCGGAAAGGCTGAGGAAGGAAAACCCGAAGCTGTCCAAGAACGAAGCTCTCATTGAAGCCAGAAAGGAGCGCATATCTTAGTCACAAGTATTCCGTGTCAATGTCATCCTTCTGGCAAAGCAGCAGCTTGACAGACATGTGAACCATGTCATGCAATGTCAATCTTGAAGTTGTCCATCTTTCTTGATACCAGTAGGCTGCAACCTTCCTGATACAACTCCTGCCAATTGGTATTGCCTTGTTTTGAGGTGGCGCTTGCACCCAGACAGGGTTGCTTCCATCAAGTCCATGTCTGCATCCGAGCTGAGCCGCAGACGTCTGAAGACCTATGTCTCAGATCCACCTCTCCCATCGGATGATGCTGAGATGGAAGCCTCGCGGCAGGAAGAGGAGCTTGAGATCATGGTTGCCGAGGAGCTTGCTGACCCGGCTGTGATGGACATGAATGCAGATGACAGTGAAGACGGCTGTGATCAGAAAGAGCATGGGGCCCCTGCTGAAGATGACACGCTTGAATATGAGGCTTCGGTCGCTGGCAGTGAGTGCGGGAACAGTTTGATCGATGATGGTGGTGAGGAACCCTGCGGCAATGAAAGCCCTGCTGGCGATGACGCTGGTGATAATGACAGCGATGATGCGACGGATGGTGAGGGATTTGATGCTTAGTGCACTTTTGCTTTTTCCCAGGTCCCACTGAGTTACTTTAGGGCTGCACCATGCAGTGCCCACTGCCATGTGTGAAACCAGTTCGTTGGTAATCCAAATGCTATTCATCATTTGATACCGCCGCTGTTGCTTTCACAAATTTTGCTGGCAGTCCTACACTTGTGGATTCCTTAGCCAGGAGTCTGCATCCGGTGATTTTGAAATGACCAGGCCATTAGCTATCAAACCTAGATCCAACAGCGCCGTGAGTAAAGACAAAACTGTTTTTTAATCAGTGGCTTGCGCCTGCAATCATTATCATCATGTTCGACCACTTTAATCATCAAATGGTGTCTTGATGTGCCTATCCACTGCTCTCCCACTGCCTTGCCTGGGCAGATGAGCTCCAACGGATCTGCCAGTGCAAGTGGTTCTCGGAGGATGACAATGTCATCCTGGAAGTCTCTGAGCCTGAGAAGAAATCCACATACGATGCTGACAGCTGCAGCTGGAAGCAATTGCTGTCAGAGTTGGAGGAGGAGGGCCATACGGAGGTGACCATCAACCACCATGAGCTCACAAAACCATGTGCAGGGGAGGGTTGCTTGGTTCAAGGATGTCCCAGCCACCAAAAAGCATCCAAGTTTTTTTGTTCTTGGCAATCACTGACGCGCACATTGACCTTGGTCTCCGGACGCCTTTTTACGCAATCCTGATCGTATTTGATTCCGTGCCCACTTGCTGTCATTGAGACGACTTACCCTTAGGACGTGACTCCTACCTGATCAGACCCAAGCCAATGGAGATGCACTTCTCTTGGACCAGTCCCAACACCAGCCAGCTGAAGTACACGGGCATTGGCAGCGCGTTTCCAGAGAAGGTGTGGGCACTTACCCTCTTGGATTTGCAACCTTCCACCCGGACCTTCTTGGCTTGGGTTTGACATATCATTACTCTCACAGTGTTTCACTTCAGACTGGCGGATCAACCGCAACCAAACAGGTTGGCAAATGTTGGCAGGATTGATATCATGATGTTGATCGATGTTTGAGTGGCCCAACTATTGACCATGTCCTAAATTGATACAGAATTCCGCTGTGAAACAAAAACCGAAATACAGGAGGTTTGGACAGCAATTTCTTGAAAGTATTTGGGTGAGCCACACAGCGTAGCTCCCAATTTGGTAAAGCTACCGTTTGGGTATGTTGAGTTTTGGGCGGTGCGCAGAGACCAAACGCAGCCAGGCAAAATGCAACCAGAAACGCTTGCCAATCTGTTTTGCCATACCGCAGTACTAATAATTTACCGCAGTACAGATGCAGGTGACGCAATATGGACCGCAGTACTAATAATTTACCGCAGTACACATGCAGGTGACGCAATATTTATATATATATATACATATATAATCATGGAAGCCGCAATATCTACGCGGGTGCAGTACTAACAATTTGCCTCAGTAAAGATGCGGGTAGCGCAATATCAGTATATATATATATATATATACATGCCGGAAGCCGCAATATCTACGCGGGCGTAGTTCTAACAATTTGCCGCAGTATAGATGCGGGCGACGCAATATATATATATATACATACATACATATTTACTATTTATAATTATATATACAGTATATGCGGGAAGCCGCAATATCTACGCGGGTGCAGGACTAAGTATTTGCCGCAGTAAAGATACGGGCGACGGAATATACATGCGGGAAGCCAGAATATCTACGCGGGCGCAGTACCAACAATCTGCCGCGATACGTGCGGGTGACGCAATACGAGTATTCATAAACCGCGGTATCTATGCGGGCGCCGGGCGCCGGGGCACCAAGATCCCATATCAGTATATAAAAAAAGATGTGCACAAGACCTGCCTAGCTCAGCGTTATTCGAATCATCAGTCCAGCGCACATGATCTGGTCGAATCTTCTACTAGGCGTCCTTAGCATCACAATCATCACCACATATCGCCACTAGCATAATCTTGTTCTTGCTCGCTGTCAGACACCAAAGTCGTGCGTTAGAATTAGGGAACAATCTGACATACTGACCCATGTTTTCTGGAGGCCCTCGAGATGTCAAGACCCTTGCGGAGGGTATGGCGTGTCTCTTACTCCAAGGAATCTAAGGCCGCTCATTTGCAGGTAAGTTTTGCTCTGAACATCGTTCAAAAATTGTTGGCTATGAAGTGAGCTGCCAAGTGTAGCCCTGCCCTATCTACCATCAGGAGATCTCGCCAAGACACTTGACTGAAAAACCGGGTCTGGAGCTTCGAGCCCTTTGTGCCACCTCAGTCCACCATCATGCTGGCTAGTTGTTGCTGGGGTCTGCTTCCAGCCTAGGAAAACCTTTGTATTTCCTGAAGCAGCCTCTGCAACTTTCTGAGAATGAGGTCATGCGACTGATTTGAGCATTGGGTGTGCTGATGTGTGGTGCAAACTTCCCTCAAAATTATCCAGTCAAGCTGCTCCATGATGATGTCAATCATGTGCTTATTGATACTGTCTATTCTAGCTGCAATCGGCACCATGCTCAATGAGTGCGAATCATGACACTCAGCTTTTGATGTCTGTGCGTCGACGGCGTCGCAAGATCCCGAGGGTCCCGGCAGAAAGGTTTTGATGGTGCAGCTGTTGCACCTTCTTGTTGCCGTGGAGACATGATGTCTCGCTACTTTGGCGGTGTGGCAAAAATCTTTGACGGATAATCTATTTTGCAGACACACCAAGTTCATCGTTTGATGTGTCGGACTAAACGTTACAGCTGAGATGCTGTCGGTGATGTTCAAGGCTGGTGTTAGGCAGTAGGCTTCGAAGATTGGTCAGTCTGTTATGGCCAGTGCTGGGTAAGCTACTCACAATCAAAGTCCTTGGTCTTACTGTGACACCTTGAACCTTGGCCTTTCAATGGCTCACTGTCTCAAGCCTGGCTGCAAAGCAACCGTCTCCAAAGTGAGCTTCGCAATTTGCAGGCCTGGCTGCTTCGATGAAGGAAAGCAAACACATGTAGCCTATTGCTACTAAACACCGGCTGATTGATTGGAAGCAGCAAGTCTGCCTGCACATGTAATGCTTGGCCTATGCTTCCTGATGTTCAAGCTCAGCAGGAGCCTTCTCTTTGAGCATTCTCATTTTTTTGCTCACCCAGTGGAACATGTAATGTGGTGCATCTGCAGCGTGATGTATTTCCAATCTTGATTTCTTCATGGACACTCGTAGCTTCTCAGGCCGATAAACCAGTCTCAAGGACCTTGTGGTGGACCCCATGGGCACACCGTGTGGAGGAGCATGGGCTGAATTCTAATGCGAATCTATCAGTCTCAAAAGGTTTGATGAATTGTGTTTGTCTGCACGTCTGTGCCCAGGAGTTCTGGATCATATTTAGATGTAGCGGATGCGCTCACTCCTGACCATCCTTAGGGGGCCCAGGTCAAAAGACTTGACCGCCTTAGTCCTTTGCACAGCGGTTATGATAAGTAAAAAGGTCTGCATGGCTTCAAAGTCGTTCACTGGTCCATCTGCAGATTCGTTCAACCACTGTCTAGTAGTAGGCATCGGCTTCTTCCTGTATTTGCATCGTTGCAGTGATCTTAGGGCCGAACCCTGTGAGAGACTACAGAACAAAGCAGGAGGGCTGGCGGGCTTTCGGCCGATGCAAAGTTCAAGCAGCATGGTGTCACATGAAGTACATACCTCGTGTGTGGTTTTATGTGCTTGTGCCATGGGTGAGCTGTGCTTACTGTGCGTTTTGCGAAGCGACCTACAGTCATCGCACCCATCCCCGTGATGCTTGACGCGCCAAATGCCGCCGCCACAGGACTGTGAATCATCTTCAAAGGCCCATGAGCAGGCGAGTACCCATTACCGTCAATCTTGGACATGTGAAAATTGGTTCTAGATTCATCACCGACAGCAAGTGTTGGACCACCTGCCTGTCACTGTTCGTCTTGATGCTCAGGGTCTCTTGTATCCATAAAATGTCTGTTACAAGTCAGCTGTTCACAGTATCCCTGAACTCGGCCAACCAATTGTCCTAATGGTTGAAAAGAAAAAAAACAAAGGGGGCTGATCACTGTCTTAAAGATCAAGATTTTGAACTGATTGGATCGTTCTTCCTGTTTTCTTGAACTAGTTTCTTGACTTAGGAGCTGTGCATGTTGAGCTCCACTTTGAAACTTCAAGTAGGTGCACTCAGTACCAGCATTTTCCAGAAAATTGTGTCAGAGCAGCTAGGGAAGCCAAATCAAATACTCCAGGAAACTTCAAAGTTTGGTAGCTTTGGTAGCGAAAATCTGGTTGCTTGAAATCCTTGGAAAATTAGGGGTTTTACTGTTTGTGTGTTGGTTTGCTGTTTGTTTTGCAGGGTTTGTTTGCGAACAAAGCGTGCAGTGACACTACGCAAATCTTACCGGCTACGCGCGCAGCTGTGTACTGTACTAGAGGGTTTGCCGCACCGTACATGCGCCGCACTATATGTACGGACGCCGGGGCGCCGGGGCGCGCGTAGATAGACCTTGGTTTGTTTCAAGAATAACGTGCGCAGTGACACTACGCGGAAGTTATCAGCTACGCGCACTGGCACTTCGCGTACGGAAGCCGGGACGCCGGGGCGCTAGGCAGGTTGAATAGAGACTAAAAGGTTGTTCAGAAGAAATATTGAATTTGTTTCCTTCGGCGTCTCTGTCTGGGACTTGGCCCGGAGGCTTTAAGACAAGGTGGCTCTGGCTTGATTACTGGGTGCCACTGTGCTTCAGGGCCAACAAACTGCAATTTGATTTGCCAATTCTGTAACCTAGCATTCTGTTATCTGTTATCACTTGTCACCGCTGGCTTTCTCTAGCTGCTTGAGGCTTGGGGTGCTGGCCAAGCAGTGGGTACAAAAAAGATGCAATTTCTATCAATTTCTTCTTGTTTGTTCCATTGAACTTAGGTATGTCCAGCAAATGTGATATAATTAGAACCATGAGGAGATAAGTACTATTTTGAAACACATCTGAAGGAAACCAGTTCTAGTGTCGTGCAACAGCCTGAAAGTTTGACATTATAGTCATAGATTGTGCTTTGACATATCTTCCATCACGCCACGCAATGGATCAGAAAAAAGAAAAGAGAATAATCGGGAGGAGAACTAAGTACTTGGACAAGGATGTCCCAGAGGAAATTGGCGAGGAGAGGCGCTCAGCACTCCAACAAATTTATGAAGACAATAGACTCTTGGATACAGTAACACCAAAAATTCACCTTCAAGCCAGTCAAAGAGATTCCAGCTGGATTATCTGTTATTGAATTGGATTTGCTACAGCACCTGTTCAGCCGCTTGAGCCTTAGGAAAAGGGAAAAAAAGGGAAAGACGTCCACGTCCAAAGAAGATCAAGAAGACTACAGTAGACTGTGGAACTTCGACCCTTCCACTTGTTTCAGTGGACACCGGCACTTCAACCTCTCCACTTGTTGGACTAGACCATGGTAACACTTTGAAGTTGACCTCTCGACCTGTCACGCGTGATGTGGGGGTGGAAGCTCGCGAAAGCATGTGCATATGCGCGCTTCGGGGTGAGAAAACGGTCCGTTTTCCAGGGGAATGTGGCCACTGCTGGGTCAATCGCCAAGATGCAAATTTTTGGCGTGAAAAAGCTGTTCGGCTACAAAAGGAGTTGGAGTACAGAGAAGGGCAGCTTAAGACCGCTTGTCTAGAGTTACGCCAGCTCAGACGCAACAGAGTAGTGTGAAGAAAGGGGGAAAAGGGTGTGTTTGCCAAGTCGCGTCTTGTCCCCATCTTGCACGTTGCTGTGATCATGAATTTGAGTGTCCTATTGAGTTTTGCTTTGTCAAATTTCATCCCAGTGTGCATGTGGCCAAGTGATACTTTGAGAGTGCAACAGACTTGAGCACCTTTTCCAAGGGCGTTGACTAATCTACCACATCGATTTGCCAGGCAG